ATTTAACTTATTGTGGAAAAACCCGATTATCGAACTGCAGGTTTCTTGAATTTCCCGAAAAATTGAAATGGTGGTTAGGAGGTGTCTACATCAATTTACCTGCCAACTTATGTTCTGAATTTAGATTAGTATAGTCCGCGGCACGAAGCCCGCGCACACCTTCAATTTACATGCGGAACAACTTACTCCCAACGACCGCGGGAAGCACAGTATAGTCCGCGGCGCGAAGCGCCGCGCACACCTTCAGTTTGCATGTGGAAAAACCTGCTCCCAGGGGCCGCGGGAAGCAAATTCGACTACATTTTTTTAAATTTACACTTCTAAAAATTTCCTTCTCTGCCTACCCCATTTCCCCACCCCACAAAACTCTATGAAAACCGTTTTTGCAGGACAAAATGCCGGGACTAGGGGTATATGCGTGGGGCTACATAAGCTAATTTTGCCGAAACGATAATGCAGGGCATTGTATGCATCAAAGCTGAGTCGGCCAACAAAGACTGCATGCTGAACAAACGGTTTTTGAATAGTGTTGATAGCAAATGAAAAATAATTAGTCTCTATCTGTTTCGGCCGATTTGAAGAAAGCAAGTCTTAAAAGCGAAAAAAGCCACCGCTACGCTAGCTTGCTAGCCGAATGTATGGAATGGGATCTCGTATCTAGCGAATAACTGCAGAGCAGCAGCGACGCTACCATCGGGACGCGAAGAGCTGAGGCTTGACACGCCACGTTTTACTACATGTCCCAAAACACGATGACAACATTACGACACATCGACATTGAACTGTGTAAAAGCATACTACTGAATTGCAGTTCTTTTTTGAGCCTAAGCACTAGGTGGTGAAACCCCCATAAAGTGACCAGCATATTCAAAATCCCAAAAGACGTGGTTCAAATGCCCAGTCCAAGTACTACAATGTGTTCGTGGGAGTCGACGCAGACCGACCCCTGGGTATTGGATGTTGGGGTGTATAAAGCCCGAATCCTCGCATGCAGTCTGACAGACCACGACCTTGATATTCAAACGCATATGCGTGTCTGCATTCCCTACATCGGTTCCCAGTAAGGTAGCACACCTGTAGGCAGCTTCCACTTAATCCTCTATTAGAATATCCCTTCCAATCTCTCCGGCAGGTAGGCTGCGGCGATCGTTTTCTCGTAATAGGTAGATGACACGCTAATTTATTGTCCTGGTCAAATTCTATCTCATTAATCAATACGTCAACTGTAAAATGAATAAAACCCAATTTTGTGGTACTCATCAATACTTCCATCTTATTTTGTCCGTACTGCATCACTGGCGTGATGTTAGTTATTTTGATTACAATAGTTAACCATAAATAGCTTGCATGGAAACCAGTCAATGACCGGGTTCAAGGGCCGGAAGTACACTTCTACAAATGTACCGACTGATATCAAGTGCCCATCGGCATAATACATTTTTTTACTCGCGATTGCATGAACTATTTGGAGGACTCCATCTCCATAGTTTGGTGAACTAGGCCAGGCGACTCGTCAAACATTCACCCTATTGACTGCTTTGGGCAATAAGGTGGGAATGTTGACCACAACTAGCTAGTGGTCACCAACACATGTTTGCAAGATCGTCACAGACAACTGCAGAATTGGTATTCAAACGACGGCTGTATGGCTAGATATATGGACAACATTCTACTCAATGCAGAACTTAGTACTTAGGTTCGGCATAGATTATGCATAAGTGGTGTCGGAACTGGTAATGCCCATGGGTCAGACTAGGTTCTCGTTAGCACACGCCTGAAAATGTATCTCTCATGGGCACTCAGACTGCCACGTACTCGACGTCATGGTACCGATAAAGCTTTTACGCAACTGATAGATGGGAGTTCTAGTTCAATGACTTGTATTTACAACAACAGCCAAACTGCGTTTTTGCTCTCTAGCAGCCGGCCAATAATGTTGCCTAGGATTCTGGGCCAGTTGAAACCATGTTGTCTAAGCAGATGGTGTTTGACTGCTAAACCTGAAAAGCAAAATTATACTCAAAAGGTTTGTCGATTAACTGCAGACTTGTATCCTCCTAGGAAGTGTACTAGGCATTGTGGCGTAAGGTTGAACAGACAAAAAAGACTAGGAGTTAACTACGTCGAAGAATGTACATGATAGCAAAGTCTAACGGAACAGTTACAGACACAGAGTAATCAGAGAGAGCAGGGTCGTTACCTTCGAGAGAGCCTTCGGGTTTCCAACAACAATGAGTCCAAACTTTGCACGAGTGAGAGCCACATTTAGACGTCGAGGGTCGTTTAAGAAGCCAATTCCTTGATGATCATTTGCCCGCACACAGGAGAGTATGATGTAGTCCTTTTCACGCCCTTGGAAGGCATCGACGCTTGCGACCTCTACTTCCTGGTATAATTTTGAATTTAGAGAACCCGAATAATGAAAATAGTGGACCAGATAAGCCCGCTGGCCTTCGTAGGGTGTGATAACGCCAATTGTTTTGGGGTCAACGCCGACTTTCAGCATTCTATGGAGGAATAAAAATGGACACAGCCCGAGATAACTGAATTTCATAAGGTGAATTTTGATAGCGCGAACTAACTATTGCTAATGAACAGAGATAATGCTGTTGAAAGTGATAATTGTCATGTTTTCGACTGAGCTGTTGATTCCAACTAAACTTGAATAAAAATCCTTGTGTCCGATTGCTGTAATAAATTGGTCAAGCTGACGATAGCCCAAAGCCGGGCATGGCGTACTCTACAGATATGCCTAATTAGACTAAGCAACCGGTTCAAAAATATCAACACTGGAATACACAGGATGTTTGAAATTAAGTCATCGGATTAAAATTCCTTATCATAACAGTATATTCTTAAAGTTACCAACGGTTTTCGACACCGAAACCCGGTTATACATTAGCACGGTTCTGGTGCAGGGAAACTAATACAAAAGATTATAATGGTAAGAATGGGAAAATTGGCTTACTTAGTGACTATTTTTTCCACTGTGGCAGCCTCTGTGCGATTAAGATAGGATACACCATTACCCGATATTTCTTCCTGACCTGAAGTACAGTAGAAGAACATTGGCCTATCTGAGTTCGGCCACGGAAAGTCGAGTTCTTTGAGACGATCCTCTGTAGTCACACCATTTTGTAGGCTGCCTTCATAAAATACGTTGCTTGGGAAAGCAGACAGAGCTGGGTGCATTCGGTATTGAACCTGAAGGAATAAAAAATCGGAGCTAAAACTTAACATCTCAAATGAGCTGAGTTCACATAATTCAAATAAAGAAACAACTACAAAAAGCCGCCAACTGAGGCGCCTTACCTGAAGCCTGATGGGGCGTATCCCCAGCAAGACAAAACGTTCGAAAAGACTTTGCGTCAAACCAGCCTTTGCGGCCTTTTTGCAGGTAATGACCGGCCCGAGCTGGCAATGATCGCCGACCAGGACAACTTGACGACATCCAACCATCAGCGGAATTAGACATTCAGGTTCAGTCGCTTGAGTAGATTCGTCAATCAGAACTGAATAGAAACTTAGTCTTTCCAGTCTCTGATCTCCCGCCGTTACGCATGTGCAACAGATAACATCTGCTGCCAACAAAATCTCTCCTAGAATTGGATAAGTAAAATAAATGACAGACGGCGTGTCGAGGATAAATGTACAGCCTCGAATAAAAGATCACTATATTTCTACATGGGGGTCAGTTTAGTTTATGGAAGACAACGACCACAAACAGACCACCCGAAGGGACCGTGAGATCAGGAAAATTGTCTATGGGCAATTAAAAATTGAAAATTCTTGCAAACGACGGGGGGAGAGAGAGAGTAGATACAATTTGCCCTTTACAGGCGTGTCAGAATTGAGTTTAGAAAATAGCAAAGTGTCACTGAATGTTCGGCCGTTCATTGTAGATCTCTGTTTAATAAGAATGTCGAGTTATCAGCACTCATGTTGAA